GGTTGTACACAAATCAATCAAAAGATCAACTTTTATACAGTCAGCTATTCCATACACGAATCGACATTCGGTTGGTCCCTGCAGAACCGGCCAAATTTTGATCCATGCATGGCCTGTGATGAAATATGGATGTCAGACCACCTCCCTCTTCACCAAGCTGTAACAAAAGACTGGCCAACCTCATCCCGCAACAACAATGCCACTCAGACCCACACTGCACAAAGATTTTCCAGATTGCGGGAGCACAATCTAGGTGCCAACAGACTGAGTGCGATTGTCACTGGTTTTAGTTAACTAAGCAATTAACTATTTAAACTGCCACCATCGACTTTTACCAGAGTCAAAAACTTCCACAAGTTTAGCAATAACACTTATGATTTTAAAATAAATGTCTATACACACACTGTTACCACAGACAGATTTATTCAGAGATTTGTCATATACAGTAACGCTCTTCAAGAGACAGGAATTCTTTCAGTTTGCGTTAGAGCCTTAGAGACAATTTCAACACTAAAATAGGGTTTAATAATGAAATGGTCAAAATGGTCCATATAAAATATTTACAAAAAAAAGATATTACAAAGAGACAACAATGCAACAGAGAAATAAAAAAGAGTTGAGGGTAAGAATACTTAAAAATGTCATGGTTTCAGCAGAGTTCATTGGATAAGCAAAGATGGTACAGTGGCTCTCTCAAGTCCAGTTAGGTGTTCCTTTGTTTGATCTTAAACAGCTGTCAAAATTTTTTTTCTTCACATCAAGGGGTGGTGTTGGCAGAGATCATCTTACCAATCATCCTAAATACAGTTTTCTATAATTATTCATATTTCTGAATACCTACTGTTTACAGACTGCTAACATGCATATTATTGTCCAGTGTGCAATCTGCGTCAGAATTAATAAAAATATGACAAGTTTCAGATGTCTACTTCACCTAGGAGGCTAAGGGGCTCCATTGGTTCCCCATATTGTCTCATATAGGGATGTTTGGACGTGAAACAAAACAAATTAACTGAGGAAAGTAAGTTTGTCCTTCCTATGGCTGTGCTGTTATTATTTCATGAGTTATTTATTTTTTATTTTATTTATTTCAGGTACTTATATAGCACTGTCAATTTACGCAGCGCTTTACATATATATTGTACATTCACTTCAGTCCCTAACCCTCAAGGGGCGTACAATCTAAGGTCCCTAACTCACATTCATATACAAGGGCCACTTTAGACAGGATCCAATTAACCTACCAGCATGTCTTTGGAGTGTGGGTGGAAACCGGAGTACCTGGAGGAAACCCACGCAGGCACAGGGAGAACATGCAAACTCCAGGCAGGAGGTGCCGTGGCTGGGATTCGAACCAACAACCCTAGTACTGCCAGGCAGAAGTGCTAACCATTTAGCCATTGTGCTGCCCAATGAAATATACTGAAGTTTTAGAGTGTTTGCTGATAACCAGTCTTTTATAAATGTGGATTTCTATGGTATTTACTATAGGGGGAAGAGCTGCAAGTGTCAGGTAACACTCCATTACTCAAGCTTGTGAGGGTGATGGTTTTATTAGGGTTTTCAGATGCAAATGTGGATTGGTTAATGGAAAAGGCTGGTGTGTATGTCCAATGAATGGACTGATAAGAAGGTGCTGGCATCAGTTAACAGTTCTGAATTCCATGAATTGAAGGAGGAGGAAGGGGCATTGTCACTACACCTGTGTCTCTGGTTCAACACAGAAAAGATAGTGACAAGTACAATGTAATGGCTGCATAAGAAACAACATGGCTGCTACACACATAGCTATTCATGTGCCCAGTATGCACAACCATTACATGTCTGACTTAATTGTAGTCTGTAAGAGTCTCCATGTGTGAGCATATATAGTAATGGATACATTAAGGGCAGGTATACATTCTTCTTTAAAGGTGCAGGGACACCTCCTTGGAAGCCCAGCAGAGTACAGTGGCAGCTGAAGGCGTCCAATGTGTTATTTCACTAGTTATTTGTGTGTATATTCATGTAGGAATGATGCGTGTGACTCTGACTGTTCTGTGCCTCCCGGGTGGCTAGACACAGCCCTCTGTATGGATATATGGATCTGAAGGCCTGTGTGAATGAGCCCTTAGTGTTGCCATGTGTTTGCAGACACCATGGGGGAGATTTACTAAAACTGGTGCACACAGAATCTGGTGCATCTGTGCAAAGTAACCAATCAGCTTCTAGCTTGTTCAGTAAAGCTTTGCCAATAGAGCCTAGAAAGTGATTGGCTACTATGCACAGCTGCACCAGATGCTTTGTGCACCAGTTTTAGTACATCTCCCCCATTGTGTTGCATTTTGCAAAGGACTTGTAGGATTTTTTACCAATGAACAACATTTATTTATTATTTATTTATTACAGGTACTTATATAGCGCTGTCAATTTACGCAGCGCTTTACACATATATTGTGCATTCACATCAGTCCCTAACCCTCAAGGGGTGTACAATCTAAGGTCATTAGGTATATACAACATAACTAATTTAATTAAACAGCTGACACTGCAAAATGCATTTCTTTAGTTTTAATTGCTCTACAAGTAAGGGTATATATGTTGACTTAGGTGTGTTAACCTTGACTTAGTAGCTTTTTTTTTCCTTTAGGTAATTCATTTTGTGTGGACAAAGCTTAAGTGAATAGCTGTAAAGAAATGCAATAAAATAAACTGCCCACTGCTTACATCATATTTTCACTGCTGTTAGGTTGAACAAAAAAAGGACAACTATACTTTTATATACATGGTTACCTTCCCCAGCACCCTCCAAAGCTTTATACTCACCTGTCCACGTTCCTGCCAGATCCAAGCTGTGTGGTCCACGGGGAAGATGCACAGCCAGTGCTGCTAACCCTCTAGCCAGGAGGGATTCTTCTATGGAGACAACTTATCTGTAGGAATTAATGGGATTTTCTTTGGGCATGCACAGAAAAACCAAGTACTCATAGTGTGGATCTCACAGAAAAATGGACAGATGAGTTTAAATCTCTGTGGAGGGTTCAGGGAAAAGGGGGGGGGGGGGTAACTTAAATGATAGTTTTACAAAAATATTTCTGTAAGTACTATTATATACACTGCTCAAAAAAATTAAAGGAACACTTTGAAAACACATCAGATCTTAATGGGGAAAAATATCATGCTGGATATCTATACTGATATGGACTGGGTAATGTGTTGGGAATGTAAGGATGCCCCATCGTTTGTAGGTTGATAATTTTCATTTCCATCATAGGACTGAATTCGAAGAGACCCCGAAAATCAAAGTAAAAAAATGATGCAGCAGGCTAGTCCATTTTGCTGAAATTTCATTGCAGCAACTCAAAATGGTACTCAGTAGTTTGTATGGCCCCCCATGTGCTTGTATACATGCCTGACAATGTTGGGGCATGCTCCTAATGAGACGATGGATGGTGTCCTGGGGTACTTCCTCCCAGATCTGGACCAGGGCATCACTGAGCTCCTGGACAGTCTGAGGCGCAACCTGGCGGTGGCGGATGGATCGAAACATGATATCCCAGAGGTGTTCTTTTGGATTTAGGTCAGGTGAGCGTGGGGGCCATTCAATGGTAACAATTCCTTCATCCTCCAGGAACTGCCTGCATACTCTCACCACATGAGGCCAAGCATTGTGCACCAGGAGGAACCCAGGACCCACTGCACCAGTGTAGGGTCAGACAATGGGTCCAAGAATTTCATCCCAATACCTAATGGCAGTCAGGGTGCCATTGTCTAGCCTGTAGAGGTCTGTGCGTCCGTCCATGGATATGCCTCCCACCACCAAAGCGGTCATGCTGAACGATGTTACAGGCAGCATAACATTTTCCATACCCTTTCACGTCTGTCACATGTGCTCAGGGTGAGCCTGCTCTCATCTGTGAAAAGCACAGGATGCCAGTGGCGGACTTGCCAATTCTGGTGTTCAAATGCCAATCGAACACAGGGCCCACTAGAGGACGTCGGGGCACTCAGACCACGCTTATGAAGTCTGCTTCTGATTGTTTGGCCAGAGACATTCACACCAGTGGCTTACTGGAGGTCATTTTGTAGGGCTCTGGCAGTGCTCACCCTGTTCCTCCTTGCACAAAGGAGCAGATACCGGTCCTGCTGATAGGTTAAGGACCTTCTACGGCCCTGTCCAGCTCTCCAAGAGTAACTGCCTTTCTCCTGGAATCTCCTCCATGCTCTTGAGACTGTGTTAGGAGACACAGCAAACCTTCTGGCAATGGCATGTATTGACATGCCATCCTGAAGAAGTTCGACTGCCTGTGCAACCTCTGTAGGGTCCATGTATCACCTCTTGCTTTCAGTAATGACACTGACCCTAGCCAAATGCAAAACTGGTGAAAAACCGTAGGAAAAGATGAGTAGGGAAAAAAATGTCAGTCAGTGGCCTCCACCTGTAAAACCATTCCTGTTTTGGGGGTTGTCTCATTGTTGCCCATTTAGTGCACCTGTTGTTAATTTAACACCAAAGCTGCTGAAACTGATTAACAACCCCCTCTGCTATTTAACTGACCAGATCAATATCCCAGAAGTTTAATTGACTTGATGCTATACTCTGATTAAAAAGTGTTCCTTTAATTTTTTTGAGCAGTGTAGTTTGAATATGCATTATAATTGAAACCGTTATAGCATGCATAGAAATAACGGTATAGACTGAATACCAGCAAAACATGAATGGTTTCAAAATTAATATAACCTCTAGTTGCAATCAGTCAGTTACATCCTGGGGTCCACAAATGCAGCCAAACATAATTTTTAATGCTGACTCATTAAGGAGATAAGAGAAAGTACTTGTATTCTGTGTTATCACTGCTATAGATTCTGATAGGATGGTTCATACGTTTTTATATCTGTATTTTAACAGTTGTTTTAGATGATTTTAACTGATACAAGGTATCATCATAGTTTAGGCAGCATGTGAAACAGATAATAATTCACTGATAATGACATCTATTTATTTGGCTGTAAAACCTTAGGTGAGTGGATTACCAACCCCTGACCTGAGCTGGCAGCTAAATGGCAGACCTGTCCGTCCAGACAACAATCACAAGATGCTGGTGCGTGAGAATGGAGTGCACTCCCTGATCATTGAGCCAGTGACCAGCAGAGACGCTGGAATATACACTTGTGTGGCCTCGAACCGAGCTGGACAGAACTCATTCAGCCTGGAACTTATTGTGGCTGGTAAGTGATTTTTTTTTTTCACTATTAGGGCCCAGTTTACACCAGTGTGTTTTTCGTGTGGTGCATTAAAAAAAATCCTACTTTCTGCATGTACTTATATCATTAAAACGTGCATTATATAGAGTTCAACAGCAAGGCATGTTTAAGGCACACTGCGCTAGTGTGAACTGGGTCTTATATCAGACGTTTGTTTTGTATCTAGGGATATGAGGTCATTGTTACCCTGAAAATGTTAAAGCATAGGTAGAAAATATCATTTCTTAATTTAACCTGATGAACTCCACAGCTCTTATTTTAGTATGAATTTTCACATCGATTTAATATACAGCAATTTTTTCCTTCATTCTTATTGAACAAAATCATACATGCATCATTATAGCTTTTGTGGTGTATAAATTAACATTCCCTATTAAAAACAATTCTAGAGAGGATGGGCAGCACAAAAGAACATTGAATATAATCAAAACCCTGAATTTTTCCTAATGTGATACATTCCAGTGTCCAGTTATGTTTACTTTAATACTACAAAATAAATGTTCCTAAGTCACGCTATAACGTATGTGTATGCTGATTGAAGAAGCTTACAATTTGCATGCAGGCAAACACTGTGCAACACTCTTTTGAATCACAGGGCTACTGCAGATATTACATGTATTTCCAGTTTATTTGCAGTACATGTATTGTAAAGAGTTAGAATTTATGATGTCAGTCTTTGTTCTGATGCTAGAAACATTTTCTGTATGCATTTTGCACCTAGCATCACGTGAGCTGGCTGGTGAAACAGGACCTTGCTTTGTGCACTGCACTGTCATGTTGGAACAGGATGGGGTCATCCCCAAACTGTTCCCACAAAGCTGGGAGCATGAAATTGTTCAAAATGTCTTGGTATGCTGACGCCTTAAATGTTCCCTTCATTGAACTAAGGGGCCAAGTGCAAAGCCTGAAAAACAACCCCACACCATAATCCCCCCTCCACCAAAACTTTACACTTGGCACAATGCAGTCAGACAAGTACCGTTCTCTTGGCAACTGCCAAACCCAGACACATCAATCGGATTGCCAGACAGAGAAGCGTGATTCGTCACTCCAGAGAACACATCTCCACTGCTCTAGAGTCCAGTGGTGGCGTGCTTTACATCACTGCATCCAACGCTTTGCATTTCACTTGGTGATTTAAGGCTTGGATCAGCTGCTCGGCCATGGAAAACCCATTCCATGAAGCTCTCAACACACTGTTGTGATAATCTGAAGGCCACACAAAGTTTGGAAGTCTTTAGCTATTGACTCTGCAGACAGTTGGCGATTTCTGCGCACTGTGAGCTTCAGCATGCGCTGACCCCGCTCTGTCATTTTATTTGTCAATAATTTTTATTGAGAATTTTATATATATAAGCACAAAGATAAACCAGTATGTATTAGAGCAATAATGGCCTGTTGGCAGTAACAATATAGAAGAAAGGAAACAGAAGAGACAAATAGAGGAATTCCAGTGACAAGTTAATGCATGGAAGCAATGCTTCGTGACTTAGAGAGATCAGCAAGAGGATATTCTACAAGAGTAGGGAGTTTACACAGGGAAGTGTGTTTGGTACCATCTGAGCTATGGTTGTCGTAGGGATAATTCTTTTTTATATTTACCTTTGTATGTAGTGCACTCTATTTGCCCCCCCACAATGTAGGAATGGGTGTGGTATTAAACCCTCTCTCTCAATTGTGAAAGTATAGTGGCGATATAATAGTTGCTAAAGTTAATATAAACCAGAACCTCCTACTGATCTATGTTTTGTGAGTGTACATGATGCACATCAAATCTCTGCAAACTTCCCTAAATACGTACATGTGGCAGGGAAAGAAACCTTGAAGTATGATCGGGGGGATAGGAATAGGGAGGGTTCTGAATAAGTAAAGCAACTTGGGGAGAATGGACATTTTGAAGGCGGCAAGTCTACCTGCCCAGGAAAAAGTTTGTGCTTTTGAAGGACTTGCAACTCCCTGTGCATTTTTGAGAGAAATGGAATGTAGTTGGCCAAAAATAGGGATACAATTAACTAAATCAGTTAAAGGTCTCAGTAGGATATACTGGAATTGTCCCATACAAACCAGAACTGATGCTGTAGTATATTTCTAGTGATACCATCAAGGCCTAGATTTAATATTACAGATTTACTCTTGACTTTATAATACGATACTCTACTAAACCATTGTAAAGTATGGTAAAACTCTGCCAGAGAAAAAGATGGGTTGGTAAGAAGGAGTATAAGGTCGTCTACAAACAGACTGATTTTGTGTGTGATGGAATCGATAAACTTGTTATGTAGGGGTTGGAACGAATGTGTTCTGCTAGGGGTTCCATAAGAAGATTGAAAATTAGTGGAAATAATGGGCATCCTTGCCTCGTTTCATTTGTTATTTGGAAGGGAAGTGATAGCATATTTGAAGTGTACACTTTAGCTGATGGGGTAGTGTAGAGGGCAAGAATTGCGCTGAGGATGGGGCCGTGAAAAAGAAATTTGAGTAGCACCTGAGGAGCCTCAGATGAAGTCAGAAGCTACATGGACATAAACTGGAAGCTACGGAGTGGCCATTTTGTAGAAGGTTTTTCATACTGTTTGCTATTTGAATACATGCTGAGACACCTTGCTTTTTTGTAAGTGCAATTTTATTATTTAAGAGTCACATCCCTATCATTGCCTACTACACTATTTGATTGTACTATGCTACATGTTATGATGCTATTGAGAATCAGATGCTTTGTGGAGTGAGAGGAGCCCTCTTTTCTATGCGAATGGATCTTTATTGTCTGGTAAAGTGCATGGGATGTGAGGTGGCAGTCAGTGTGTTCACTAACACTGGGAACTTATAATGTAAGGAGAACACGAATAGAGTGAGTATATTGTTTTGAAGATATGACACTATATGCAATTCCTTCGGAGGTATATTTCCTATGTGAAAGTGGACAGACCTAGGAGCTTAACCATGAAGGAAGGTGGAATTTGTGGAAGCTTTTTCATATTTATGGGAAAGTAAGAGTAAAGATGACAGATGGTTAGAAGTGTACGCACGGTGGAGTGATTTTTGCACTTATCAAGCACTATTTTTGTAAGTGCGTTTTTTTGTGTTACATATCATACGTTGTAGATAATGCACTATATGCAATTTTTATTTCTTTGAGGGTATTAAACGGAGGAAGAGGAATCTATCACTTGTGGAGGAAGAATATCCAATAAAAATATATCCACACTTTTGGGTGTTTAGGTCACGGAGACGCTAAGAGTTGGACTGTGTGTTTTGGACTTTCGGGGGAGAAAGTAATTTTTTGGCGTCTGGAGTCTATTGTGTTAGTACTTAGTATCACACCGATATATTCACTTACTTACGGTATATGTCCAGAATACTGTTGGAATTCTATTGGCTGTGATCAGTGGATATAAGCTGTAAATAACATATTACATTTTGAGTACAATATGTTGAGACCATCTTCTGCTTTGCAATTTGAAAATCACTTCACAAGAGCATTTATAAAATCATTACAATTTGCCAGATACAACCTTTTAGTAATATCTAGCAGAAAACCAAATCTATTACAATTCTGCTGTTCATCATGCCCAAGGATTAACAGAAGGGCAGTTGGTATTAGTATAGTTTTGAAGTAATAAAACCTGAAAGGGGCACATAGTTCTAGGTTAAAAAACCCCTTCCCCTGTAATTGTGTAGGGCCAACCTGATATACATCAACATGAATAGCTACCACATGGCTGAATAACTGAAATTTTTACTAAGCTACAATTTGAACTTTTATGGTTCCTAAGTGTGTGTTTTGAATATTGGTTGTGACAATATTCATTGACTTAGTTGAGTAGATCCACTGCAGTGTGGCAGCTGATTAGGGGAGTGAAACTGCAAATCAGTACACTGAAACTAATCTTGCTCATCCTGGGGTTGTCACCCTACCAGTTTAATAAGTGGCTTGGCTGAACATAGGACTATATGCCAGTTCTAGTAATTGAAAAGAGACACAAATAATGAATTTGGGCATTTTTTTCTAGGAAAGGCGTAACCGCAACATTTATCAATATTCTTTACTCCCTGCTGGTTAGTTTCATAGAATAGAACAAACATGTAGTGCTAAGTTCTAACTCCCTGAAGTCCATGTGTAGCTTCTCTTTTAACTGGGAAAGTGGTGTTGAGAGGTTCTCCTGGCACATTGGGTTTGTAAAGCTGTAATGTCGCACAGCCCTCCACAGCAGAAAACGTATACACTCAGCTTCAATCTTCAGTTTAGGAGTCAGAATTCACTACAAAGAATGACTCATGCATACAAGCACCCTTTATGGCCGGCACGTTTCCATTTGTCTCTGTTTCCAATATAAGTGTGTTCTTTGTGTAACTATGGTGACATGGCATAGGACCGAGCTGTTTTCTGTCTACCAATCCAGCATGGGAGATTGGGGACTCCCTGTTTCTTTTTTGGCACCAATGTTACAACTCACAGCTATTTCAGTGCATTTGGTTTATGATTTCTGGTTGAAAAATGTAGGCAGATCTAGAGATGCAGACGTCTTTACTGTGCACTTGTACATAATGGCACCTCAAGACCTTTTATGGCCAAGAAAAATCTACACACAGGCTGGAAAGTATTGCATTCACGCTGCTTGTCAACTGTTTGTAGTAGTTCCTGGCAGGGTTTCCGTGTATTTATAATTGTTTTTAGCACGTCAATTTTTTCCTAAGACGGAAGTACAGTACATGCAAAGACAAATAACACTGTATAGTATACAGCTTGCTATATGTCTAGATTAGCATGTGAGTCTTTATTTAGTTCAGAAGTGCATTCAGTTTCAGAAATCCCCATAGAGCAGCATTTTTTAACCTTTTAACATGGAGTAATCATAAATTAAATTTAGCAGTCAGGTAATTCCAATATTATATACAGCTCATGATACATCAGCATGGTGGTCAGTAGGATGTTCCTTACATTAGGAGACAGCAGTGGTACAACTCCCAGGGCCGCAAAGGTCGCACTTGAGACCAGGCCCTGTAGTTCCACCACTGTGGAGGGGCCCAAAGCCAACATAGACGTCTGTGTGAAATCACGGCACTGAGTGCCGGTAATTTGGCTGACAGGGGCGCTACTGTGAGAACCAGGGACACTTGCCCCGAATCTCTTGCGGGGTGCCAAGGGTCCCATGCAGGACAATCACCCCCTCTGTGGCAGTCGGCATCCCCACCCACTGCTTGCACACATAACAACGGAGATCCTACCCTCTCCTTCTCGGCTCTGATTTTCTCATGAACACACAGACAGAAGGGGCCGGGAAGAAGGGATATTGCGCTGATATTCTGAGGTCTGCAACCTGGAAGGGGAGCATTAATAAAGGATATACACCTGGAGGAGAGATAGGGGGATGGTAAGAGGATATATAGTGTGGGGAGGGGTACTTTGGGAGGGGAGAGGACTTGTGCAGGGGGGAGGGGGTGTCAGATTTGAGATCTCCTTCACCTCACCCTCCCCTCCCACACTGGTGTACCCCTGCCAGTTACTGAAACCAAATATCAGAGCTTGTTTTGGCACTGGACTCCAGGATTCATGCAATATCGTTCGATTTGTGTGTGTGACCCTGCTGCGACCCTGTGGTGGTGGGCGATATTTGGGGGAAGACGGATTTCTGCTGGAGGGGATTGGGGGGAAGGATTCCATTTGGGAAGGGCCCCGTGGCTGATGGAAAGGGCCCAATGGTCAGGGGGGCCCTTCATGGTTTCTTGCACTGGGGCCCTGAAGGTTCTACACTGTGCACAATTATAAGGAAAGTGAGTATCTTGACCAAATCATCACTTTTATGCATATTGTCCAATTCCAAGCTGTATAAACTTGAATGCTTATTGGATTTAAGCATATCAGGTGATGTGTATTTGTGTAATGAGGGAGGGTGTGGCCTAAGGAGATCAACACCCTATATCAATGTGTGCATAATTATTAGGCAGCTGATTTTCCTCTGGCAAAATGGTTAAAAAAAAAAAGAGATTTAACTGACTCTAAAAAGTCACAAATTGTAAAAAGTCTTTCAAAGGGATGCAGCACTCTTGAAATTGCTAAGATATTGGGACGTGATCACAGAACCAACAAACGTTTTGTGGCAAATAGTCAACAGGGTCACAAGAAACATGTTGAGAAAAAGACGCAAATTAACTGCCAAAGATTTGAGAAGAATCAAACGTAAAGCTACCAGGAACCCATTATCCTCCAGTACTGTCCAGAACTAGCCCTGTAACAACGTGCACTTGCCACGAAACGTGTTAGGGAGATGCTACTTCACCTACCACTACTACCCATATGGTCCACACCTTGATACGGGCGGCCATCTTTGGAATTGTTTATTGTAAGTGCTTCATTTGTTTATTACTCCTTAATAAAAGTTATTACACTATCGGAAGCCTCTCTTTTGGGTTTATTTCTGAGCCCTGAAGGTGATTCCTGTTCCTTGAGCGCATACCGCACCTCTGGAGGTCGCTGACACAAAAGGATTCCACTACACACTGGATGAGCGTTTATTCCACTGGATACCTGGTAATGCCACAACTGGAGAGGACGCAGATGTTTCTGGTGACCACAGCAGAGACGACCACCACTCCGGCGGGTTTCCTGATCCATTGACCAGGAGTAGGTCATTTTACTCTAATGCGCTACTATCTGCGCTATCTGGTTAGTGCATTCTACAGCCATACTTCCTACCACAGATGTCACAGATTTATTTTTGTCACTCCAATGATATATTGACTTTGACACCTATGTCACTATTTACACCTTTCTAACCAGGAGAATGTTGTAGTATTGGTTGCTTAAACCATTACTTTTATGCTAGCTGCGTTTATATCTATCTAGGTGGTCACACTTCACCGTGAGACAGACCTTTCTACTCTAGCGCTGCATGTTTTTTTATTTGTGACTGTCCAGAACTAAAACCTACCTGGAGTGCCTAGAAGTACAAGGTGTTCAGTGCTCAGAGACATTGCCAAAGTAAGGAAGGCTGAAACCCAACCACCACTGAACAAGACACATAAGTTGAAACATTAAGACTGGGCCAAGAAATATCTGAAGACAGATTTCTCAAAGGTTTCAAAGACTGATGAGATGAGAGTGACTCTTGACGGGCCAGATGAATGGGCCTGTGGCTGGATCAGTAATGGGCACAGAACTCCACTTCAACTCAGAATGCAGCAAGATGAAGGTGAGGTACTGGTATGGGCTGGTATTTTTAAAGATGAGCTACAGTAATTGGACCTTTTTGGATTGAAGATAGACTCAAAATCAACTCCCAAACCTACTTCCAGTTTTTAGAAGATACTTTCATCAAGCAGTGGTACAGGAAAATGTCTGCATCTTTCAAGAAGACCATGATATTTATGCAGGACAATGCTCCATCGCATGGATCGAAGAACTCCACTGCGTGGCTAGTCAGTAAAGGCCTTAACGATGAAAGAATACTGACATGGCCCCCATTCTCCCCTGACCTAAAACCTATTGAGAACATGTGGGCCCTTCTTAAATGGGAGATTTACAGTGAAGGAAAGTAGTACACCTCTCTGAACAGTGTCTTGGAGGCTGTGGTTGTTGCTGCACAAAAAGTTGATTGTCAACAGATCAAGAAGCTGACAGACTCCATGAATGAAAGGCATATGACTGTTATTGAAAAGAAGGGTGGCTATATTGGTCACTGATTTTTTTGAAATGTCAGAAATGTTTATTTGTTTAGTTTGAGTTATTATTATTATACAGGATTTATATAGCGCCAACAGTTGCTCAGTGCTTTACAATATAACGGGAGACAATACAGCAACAATACAGTTCAATCCAAGAGGGATAGGAGGGCCTGATCCTTGGAGCTTACAATCTAGAAGTTTGTTTATTTTAATCTGTTAAAGTGAGGATAATAAACAAACAAATGAGATGGGAACATTTTTCATTTAGCTGCATAATAATCCTGCACACTAATAGTTGCCCAATAATTGTTCATACAGATATTCTCATAAGAAAGCCAATACCTTAATTTTGCTTTCTTAAATATTCAGGTTTGAGGTGTAGTAACATTTGACCAAGAATACTGTAGTTGTTCAATAATGAAATTATTCCTAAAAAATGCAACTTGCCTAATAATTGTGCACACAGTGTAGTTACACCTCTGGGAGACCATGTGAAAAATGGCCACATTACAGATCACTAAAAAAATGATGGGCGTCATTGGTTGCTCAAGGAACTCCTAGCAACCGCTCGAAGAATCCCAACATTCCACAGAACCCTGCTGTATAGTGTTTATCACGGTCTATATATTTGCTTCAGAGCTGTTCAAGGGACTTACATTGGAACCTGGCTATGCACATTAAATAGCCTTAAAAAAAAGAAAAAAAAAAGAAACGTTTATATTGTTTCACTGTAAGCTATCACAAGAAAACATCATCATCCATGTGTCATTTTCCAGCACAGGTTATAATAAGATTGCTGGTTACCAGGCCATAAACACAATACTTGTCTGATACAGAGTTATAAATGGTGTCCTTTCCTTGTACAATACCAGACTCCCTTTTGCTCCAGCTACAGGTTGTACTACCTGTTTGGTGCCTTGTGCTGCCTGCTACCAGCGCCGAGACAAGGTCCTACTGCACCCAAAGTGAGGATGGCAAAATGTGCATCTTCCCCAAAGCTATTTAATTCGGTGCTACAAAAAAGGACTAAGAAATTAAAATAAGAGGATGAAGATATTAGTTTAAACTAAAAGGGATAAAATGTTCTTAAAGTTCTCAATGCGAATGGCTATAACAGGAAGAGCTGTGCCCACCAAAGCTAATGATGCATATCAAGGGATGTCATTGATGGCAATAAAAAAAACCCCACACAACTCTTCCAGACAAACTAAGCTGTTTTTTTTTCGTGGTGAGCCTTTGTTTTTTTTTTGTTTTTAGATTTATGTTTCTTTCTGCATCTCAGGATTTGCAGTGTGATAAATGTCCAATTCAAACTTTATTAGTTGATTCTAATCTTAAACATTACGTCAGATATGTCCTTGACAACATTTCTTGGAAGATTCTCTAATTGTCAAAACAAATATCTGCCAGATTGCCAACAAAAATATGTTGCCTGCATACAGTTCGCCAAGATACTGGCACCAAAATGTTTGCAGGAAAATTAAGTGAACAAAACTGCAGGTGACAAATATGTGATGTATGAATCCTCATGTATCTGCTAAGTGAATGAAAGTCTCCTAAAATGATTTACTTTTGATGGAGGGAAATGGTTGTATGGGCTTTGGTGATAAAGAGACATTTGTAGCCCTGTCATTGTATCCAACACTTTGGTGTACCTCTTATAATTACCTCCATTTACTGCTTTTGTCCTTTTAAATCTGGTGTCCTTTCGACCTCATTGGAGGGGAGGAACCAGTGAAAGTAGAAGATCAGAAATGGAACAATTGAAATTACTGCAGGTGCAAATGATAATCTAAACTGATACTCCCTCTGCTCTCATGAATGTCCAACTTCAGAAGTTGTTGGTAGGGAGCTTCAGTAATGCATTTACAGATATACCTTTGTATGTATGTATTCTGCAACCGTGTTCTCTGAAATAAGTGAAAACAACATACAACTGATACATAGAATGATGATATGAAAATGATTGGTTAATAATTGTGTTGGATTTTCTATTTTCAACAGCGAGAGATGCTCATAAGCCACCTGTGTTCATAGAAAAGCTCCAGAATACAGGAGTGGCAGAAGGATATCCAGTGAGGCTGGAGTGCCGTATCTCAGGAAGTCCCCCACCCCAGATATTCTGGAAGAAAGAAAATGAATCGCTGACATACAACACTGACAGAGTCAGGTACCTGTCTAAAGATGATTGTGAAAATAAGCTGTTTTAGAATAGAGTATGATCAATGACAGATGCATTCTTCAAACATTAAAGTACGTCAAGGGTAAATTAAAAAAAACATATGTAGTATATCTCCATAATGTAGACACATTTCTCCATGCTTTATCCCTTTAAAGATCCTGCAAGTACAGAAAAATACCTGTTGCTCTGGCAGAAATGCATTCAACTTTTTAGCCCTGTTGTGCGCTGGCAACACACAAAGGATTTATGTGGATGGAGTGGTGTCAGCCCTGCCCAGTGTTTTCTGCTAAACCACTCCACTCCCAGCTCTCTACAACATAAAAGCTAATTAATCAGTAGTGCATAAGAACGAGGAGGACTGTGATAACACAGCAAATGTGCAGAGGACATAGGCCAGTTCTGAATGTCTGAAAAGAACAACAGTTTTTTTAGCACTTAGAAACATAAGATAACTAGATTAGTTATTTGTAATATAGCATTTAACAGACCAAAAAGGAGCAAATAAGAGAAGCTGAAATGCAAAAAGGGAATTTCAACCTTCCTGACTCAAGAAGCCTGAGGAGTGCCAACTCAACAGCCAAGGTCATGTATGCTTCCTCAATAAAAGTCGAAAAGCACAAAAATTTTATGAGTCTGGCTTAGATCCTCTTCTGTCTCTCTACTAATAATCAGCAGCACCAAAATGCAAGGTCAGCACATTTTGACTTTAGCCTAGGTTCACACTATTGTGGGCCGTGTGACCCGTGTTAGCTTGAGTACAGTGAATGGGCTGCTGTGCCCACATTTCCTGCAGGAAAAAAGTACATGCACCTTTTTAAAAACGCGGCCGCAGGGAAACCACATGGTCTTTTTGACCATGTGTTTTCCCTGAGGTTCCCACACCCGCAAATGCGCTACGGGCTGTGATGCGTGGGGGTGCCATTCAGAATAAATGACCGCCCCACGAGTCTCTTGGCTGCGGTTGGTTGCAGGTGCAGGAACAGGTGCAGACTGCAGGCAAGTGTGAACCAGTGTTGTTTCGTTGATGAAAATATTTTTGTCATAATTTTCGTCAGCGGCATGTTTCCGGAGAAGAAACCCAAACGAAAATGACTCTGAATTTTTGGCAATTGATGAAAACTATGTCAAAAATTGGAATTGATTTCGCTGACAAAAATTATGATGAAATCTTGTCAACGAATGAAAATGGATCAAGAATGTGAGGGAAGGACGTTTTACTTATAAAGACATTACATAACAGCTAAATCTGTGTAGTTTATTGAAATCTTAATTCCATAAATAACATGGAAACAGCATACAGGGTACACACTGCTCAAGGCTGACCTGCAAGAAATATCATGCTGCTGGATGTGACTGTGTGCCAGCTTGGTTTGCAAGCAAGATCAGTGAACATGAGGAAAAGAAGTAGTGGCACTGAATAAGCACCAAAGGAGTGTGGAACATGTCTACAGATGTCCTCAGAGTAGTGTTGCTACTTTTTATTCCTCATGTTCACCATAAAAAAATGTGTTAGACTTTTTCTACTACAGGAGTGTATGAGTTTAGAAAGTCTAGAGAAATGCTTAAATAATGCATTACAATTTAACTAAACCCATTAGATTTTAATTGACTAAAAAGTTCTGCAGATTTTAGTCAACTGAGTTCTGAGTGAAACATTTCATAAACTCTTCCCATTCACACACAGGACAGACACTGCTCTTGTATAATGTCTGTGTTACCTAAAGCAAGTCTTTCATCTTTTAACTTTCACCATAATGACTAAAAGAATTTGGTCACAATACCCGACATAGACAGTTCTTCATTAAGAAATTGTTCCTGTGGTTTGTATATACTTTGGAAATATATGGAACTGGTTTAACAATAATTCATTAAAAACTTACATGAATGTTAAATGATTCTTACTGTGCTATCCCTCAATAAATCATGTGATAACTTCTGTATTTCTTTTCTCAGCATGCATCAAGATAACTATGGTTACCTTTGCCTACTGATCCAAGGTACCACCAAAGAGGATGCTGGCTGGTATACGGTGTCAGCAAAGAATGAGGCTGGCATTGTGTCTTGTACTGCAAGGCTTGACATACATAGTAAGTTTATGACCCATAGCCTAAGTAGATTTGGCATTTTGAAGACTAAATCCATTGCAAACTAGTATTCTTGTGTGGAAGACATTAGTATGTTATATGTGTAAACTGTGTTATCATTGTGGTCCTCTACTAGCAAGGTCTTATTTCCCAAAAATTCCTTTCCTTCATATATACTGTAGGTGTTAGTCACTACCACGGTTTATCTCAACTTTATAAACTATCACACCTTAGATCCACTGTGAAGCAGTTTATTTAGCTTCAATGAAGAGTGGAGATGCTGTTCTCTGCTTCCAATCACAGCAGAATGAGAATGGGCCAGTGAATACAATACAGAGACAGTTTAATAGGGTGTGATGAAAGCACCTGACTGGCAGTTTGTGCAAATTATCTTCCTCTGGGTTTTTAACCTCAGAGGTGGCGAAAGCAAGGAGCATGTTATATTTGTGTATGTGTGTGTATATACATATATACCATAGAAAATGTCCCAGTGTTTAGGGAATCATGTCCTTAATATTCCCTGGGGTCTAATGTGGGTATACTCCCACACAAAACTGTCAGTATATTCCTGTCCCATATAAAAGAAGACAGTAAAAATAACAGAAATAAAGGTTAACTTTGCCTTTCTAGATGTACTAGCAGCCAAGAGCTTGTTCATTTTTTAATTTAGCTGGCACCTGGCTGTAATGTAAAAGTGATCCAGGGGTTTATATAGCCACCCAATCATTTATACAGTGCTGGTGGTCTGGTGCACACACAGCTTTGAGGCTTGACATGTATGGTATCTACTCTACACTATCTACTCATCTTTTATTTTGTACACAAAACGGGATAAAACTGTTTGTGTGCAATAAAATTCATTTTAGTGTATTTCCTCCTGAAAATTATACATTTAATCAAATTTCATGCAACATAAAAAATTGCAACTATCATTATCTTATTCTACAGGGTCTCTGTGTTCAGAAAATATATAATGTTCTGAAGGTTCTAAATAATTTTATAGCCAAAAGTGCAGATTTTAACATATCTGCAAAAATGATCCAGAGGGGAACTAGCGTCCATGCATGAATATTTGTATTTTTATTTGTTGCAAGACATTTCTTTGACAATTGTAACCAAGTGTATTTATGACAAGTGTGTTGCAAACAAATGGTCATATTGTGAAAACTATCAGGACTATGGCTTAGCCGTAGACATTTGTAGTGGGAAGCAGGGATAGCTGAATGTTTTGATATAAGATTTGTGTCGGTGGGCTTGAAATAAGGGAGTGATGGCAGTTTAGAAATCGTGTCCTGATTTTTCAGCTCACACTCTAGCTTTTGTCAGCTCCCACTCTAGTTTTGAACATTCCACCATTCATTCCTATGGGACCAATTTCACCACAAAAACGCTGATATTTCGTGAACCATTCGGTGAAACATTCCACGAAGTAATAGCACACCAATCGGGAACAATCCGCACGTTTCGGTATATTACTGTCTATGTAGTGTAAAAACTGTGGGAGGAGTTAGGGTGGTAAATTTGGCTATAATAATAAGAATATATATGTGAGATAACAGTAAGTGGTCTTGCCATGCAAGAACACCTAATAAACCTGTTCTCCTTGGAGAGCTTTATATGCTGTGAATAGCCACCAGGTGAAAAGGCAGGCCAGATCACTGGGTTATAAAATGACACCTATGTGTAGGAAAAGTGAATACTGAAGACCCTATAAAACTGATGCAACATACAACAGCATGGTCTGTGAAATAGTCTTGACGATAGAAAGGAAAATACAGTACAGGATTAAAGCCTTTAACTACATTAAGGGTGTGAATAGGGTTCAGGACGGTAGTCTTTTCAATATAAAGCTAACATCGAGAACATACCGGAAACATGACCTCAAACTAGCAGGAAGAAAGCTCAAAACAAATCTTAGCATTTCTTTATGAAAGAGTAGTTGGATTTATATATTTATTCACCTGCTGGGATAAGTGCATATAGACTCACATTAATGAGCAATACACACTGATAGGAGTACTGTACACACATAAAATACAATCTGTGGCGTGAAGCCTGTGGTGGCTGTCATAGGGAGGTTTATTTACTAAAGCTGATTCACTCAGAATCTGGTGCACCTGTGCATGGTAGCCAATCCGCTAACCTCAGCTTGTTCAATTTAGTTTTAGCAATAAAACCTGGAAACTGATTGGTTTCTATGCAGAAGTGGATGAGATTATAAGTGAACCTCATTGTTCTCTTCATGTGTCTGCAGCGAACACTCTGAAATGAGAGCTCAGTCCCAGGACATGCACAGTTGACATGACCAGGCTCTCCTCTTCCCTTGTTCGTTTCCCATTTGCTTTGACTGCTTGGAGTCCTGGGACAAGCAGAGTGGAATTCACATTAGTTACACACCACTCGGTTCATAAATTAAAGTGATTGTTAAGGCAGAAGGTTTTTCATCTTCATGCATTCTATGGCTGAAGGTAAAAAAAAACCTTCTATGTGCAACAGCTTCCCCAGTACTTACCTGAGCCCTGTCGTGATCCAGCAATGTGCACGGGAGCCTCGGCTGTCCCAGGTCTCTTTCTCCTCGTTGGTTCCTGCTGCTGTCAATCACAGCCAGTGAGCCAATGAGGAGAGAGGGGGCAGGGCCAAGACACGGCTCTGTGTGTGACTGGACACACAGAGCAGTGGCCCGGGAGTGTGCCTGCTTGCTATGAGGGCACCCGACTGGAGGGAGGCGCCAGGAGCGCTGGTAGGGTACCAGAGAAGAGGAGGATCAGGGATGCTCTGTGCAAAACCATTACACAGAGCTGATAAGTATGACATGTTTGTTATTTAAAAAAAAAAAAAAGCCTTTGGTATCGCTTTAATCACTGTGTTTTTGATTAGTTGCAGAATCTCTTGAAGCAATATAGTAAAAGAAAAAGTCATATGTATTGGAGGCCCAAGGGGCCACAGATGAGACAATTACGTGGCAGCATTAGCTGTAAAGCTATTTGGTTTAAGGAAGAAAGGTGGTGCATGTTGGTTTCAAAGACACTGGGGGTTATTTACTAAAGCTGGGAGAGTGCAAAATCTGGTGCAACTCTGCATAGAAACCAATCTGCTTCCAGGTTTTATTGGCAAAGCTTAACTGAAAAAGCTAAAGTTAGAACCTGGTGCATGGTAGCCAATCGGCTTCTGAGTGCACCAGTGTCAGTACACCTCCCCCGCTGCTTTAAATAACATGGTTACAGATGGCGCTAGGCACAGCAAATGTTGTGGTGGTGGGATATGGACCTAAAAACATAGCTGACTGCTCTTTAAAATGTTGATGCATTTTTTTCTTTCCCTTTCACAGCTCAGTGGCAGCAGTCACATACCCCCAAGACAAGAAAAGTACGGCCTTCCACCAGTCGATATGCAGCACTTTCTGACCAAGGCCTGGATATTAAAGCAGCATTTATGCCAGAAGCAAACCCAGTGCACCTCCAGCCAGCGCTGGTAGAAAGCGATGACCTGTAGAGAGGACCTAGGGAAACTTGCTGTAGCAGCCATTGGAGGAAGTCACCAGGAGCCACAGCTGTCACCCGGCAGTAGTGTCATGTAACATGCAAGACACGTCTTCAACTAACCTGATAGAGACAAGTTAAACTACGCAGTAACTTAATGTGTAAGCAGTCTAGAACATAGGATAGCAGGGATTTATCTTATGTATTTATGGCACATTCATATCACTCACTCTTCTGCTCTATGAAAGGAACTTCTATGTATTCTGCTTGTTTTGTGCCTTCAGACACTAAGATGACAAGATTTCTTCAACTCACTAATGCCTTCAAAGCAGTATAGGATGATGTGCAATGTTTAATGTCTGAGTGCATCGAACACAGTGTATGATTTTTAAAAATATATTTAAAGAAAAAATGCTGTCAAGGAGAATTGCTATAATGCTTCAGAAGTATAGAAAGAAAATGGCTTGCTTCATTGTGTTTGACAGCTGAAACGTAACACATACCTGTATGATTGTGTTACCTAACACTGGAGATCACCTGACAGGAATTGCCAAAAAACATGCAATGATTTCAGAAGCTGCCTATGGACTTTAAGCTCTTAATGAAGCGAGCGGAAGATAATGTCACATACACCCTTTCTGTGCTTGTTTGTGTGTACACCTTGTTGTTTTCTGTGTGTATTGACACTACACAATTATGTGACATTTAGATGGCTAGGGACAGCTGGTAGAAAGCTAAATTCTTGCTATTATTTATGCAACAATACCCATTACGCTTTGTGCACTTTTCCTATATTTAATATTCATGAACTGACTGCAGGAGTCCTACTAGAGTCCAGGCAGAAGAGTATATGGAACTGACCTCTAGGACTCTTCCTGGGAGGCCTGTTTCATTGTCACACATAAATTATGAGGTACGCAGACATAAAGCCAAAGTTATCTCCAACAATGCATAGTAAGGTTTTCCTGAACCGTAATGAGTAACCTTCTATTCACAAGAATGTGTGTGTTCAAGAAAAAGCTACAAAATTGTTCAGATTCAATGTAAGAAAGGGAAACTTATGAATGGGAGATAGATGATTAGTGCAAGTGAAAATGACAGTTTGAGTGATTTACCATTTGTGAATGTTTTGTTACAATACTGGAGGCCTGTAATGTCCCTCTCATTGTAGGAGCTGGAGCTAGATACGTTTGCCACCATATACAGTATATCAGAAGGGTCAGTGGCCTGGTAACATATTATGTGTCAGACAACAAGATGGTTATACATTATGTTTGTAAATGTCGGAAGGTTACTTATAGTGTAGAACCCATTATGATTTATGTGAGTGGTTGTCAAGTATATAGGAGCAATGCAGACAAGAACAGAAACTTGTCTTCTAGATATTAGGATCTCAATAACAATGCTTTCATTGGTAGGAGGAAAAAGACAAGCATGCTTGACTTAGGGTCATAGCCTGGGCCTGTTAGGGGCTGCTACCTCTACTACATTCTATTGCTGTGCTATTTTTGATGACATTTTCCTGAAGAAATACTTCAGGATGGATATCAATGAGCTGATTGCTTTCTGTTTAACCACTCACTATTCAGAGGTAGAACCAAATTGTTGCATTTTTTACTGTACAGTAGAAGTCATTACTTCACACAGCTTTTTACCCATCATATTCACCAAACCTTACAGTAATAAAACATACACAAAAGACCATAGTGCGAAGGTTTACATGTGTTTACATTCAGAGCTGTGGGTTAGCTACCTCTCAGTATTGATTCACACACTGCCAGTAAAATATCCAGTACTCTCTTATCTACTGCCCTGGGAATAGACATGTTTCCAAATCATTCTACCGATTGAAGAGTGTTTGTCTAATTTGGGATTGGTAAAATGTAATGCTGACATGCTTTAACAAACTCTTGTTGCTTGCCTGCCTTGATGGAGATTAGTGGTTAGAAGACCCTTTAATGCCCAATCCACCCTTGATGTACAGTAAATGGGACTAACTCCAATGAGACTCCACAATACCCACATATATAAGGCATTGTAGTAGTGATTCCTGATCAATACTTGGATAGGGGGACAATATTGAAAAGGGAAAAATGGATGTGTTGCTATGGAAACCAGATCACAACTAGCATTTTTTTCAAATAAAAAAAGAGAGAATTTGGCTCATGTAGGCAAAAGCCCCACCTATATTGTATGCTCTTGTAAACCTCCCATAGCATTGGTTAGGTTTTTAAGAGAGTTGCAAAGGCTCCTGCTGCAACAAGAGGCCATAACAATCCAAAACAAGTTGGTTCAATTAATGGTACAAAAGTACTTTGCCAAGGGGGGTAAATCAAAACACTGTATACCCTTTATGAAGCACATATATCATTATTTATCTGTTTTATTGCAGCTATACTGCGTATGTATTTTACACCTATATAAACTCACCATATGTATTACTGTAGGGTCATTAGCCTTTTTGTATACAGTTCTTTTAGTTTTTTTTTACAGCACAGAGCAGTGACCAGTGCTAAAGTTAAATGATACAAAATATGTGCTTAATCAGTCTACACCATAGATATAAATGTATGTCAGTGCCTTCCAGGCTATGTTGTCATTGTTTTGCCTATTACCATTAGATTTGGTTAATCCAGAAGTATAAAAGGGAGGGGACGTGTCACACTGTACTCATGTATGGGCCACACATTATGTTACATTGAGCTGGAAATTCTGCATAGGCTCAATCTCGTATTACATAAAATAACAGAATGTAGTCACATGGACTACATTGCTTCCCCTAACCTTCTTCTACTAAAATATTGTTGTTTACCATATGCCACCACTTCTTTTGGTGTTATTTAGGAAATGATTCAGTTCACCTGTGTTTTTCTGCCACCACATTGTATCTGTATTTATAGAAAGTGCCTTTGTGTGTATGGGTCATGTCATTAGATGAGACCAGTTGAAGTTTCACAGTGTCTGTTCCATAACAAGACAAGCATAGTTTTCTGGGGTAAGGTTTTTATGATAATTGCTATGCAAGGATTTAAATAAAGTATTGTTTCTTCAAGACATGGCTTCCTTTCTCTTTATAGATTGATTTAGTGTTCCGTGCAGACAGACCCATCTGAGAATAGCAGGTGTGCGCGGCCTGTGTTACTATTATTATCTCTGTGCTGACTTTTTCCTACTGGAGTATTTTAGTTGTCGGCATCACCAGCTATTCTTACTAGAAAATAAAGCCCTTTTCCATTTGCACAAGCTGCCATGCAAGGCTTTGTTTCTGACAGAGGCCAATATATTAGTGCTGCACATAAAATGTACATATAAAGATATAAAATTCATTCATCGCATAGTTTTTTGGTTATTACATAAGGCAAAGCAACAGGTTAATTTCAAAGGCCAACTCCAGTTTAAATATAAAAAGTGTAGAAAGCACTACTCACCCTCAGGGCCAGTGCTAGATTAGTTTGTGCCCTAGACAAGACCAGCTACTTGTGCCCCCCAGAAAAAAAAAACAAAACATTTTTAAAAACAGTAGAAAATATTAAATCAACAAAACATGAAACTGCTAAATCTCTTTTAATTTGCAAAAATAAGTTCCATAAGATGCCATCAGCACCAAAATTCAAGACCAAATATATGTTGCTGGTAGTGGCAGGGTGACAGTTGCAGTGAGTGGAGGATGATGGATCTACACTCTTGACAGATCCCAGCCTGGCATTCCGCAGGCAATGGGGGGGAGGTAAAACGGTGTGACAGCAGGACGGACACACACACACAGACTGACACACCACCACTGACACAGGTCAGCAGGCACTAGAAGAGCAGGCTTTGGGATCGTGATAATGTCATCACTCACTGACACATTGCACATATGACGGATGGCTAGCCAGCCGGCCGAGTCACTCACACAGGCAGACACGAGGCATCAGAGTCAGACAATTACCTTCCTCTGCAGGCGCAGTGCCGCTTCCGCTGATGAATGGGAAGAGAATGGTTGGAACTCCATGGTGATCAGCAGCCGGCTTGCAGTAAAGGACTGAGTCTGAGAGGAACACTGGAAGGAGCGGCAGCTCAGCTGCTACACTGGCCCCAGACACCCGGCATCTTCCTCTGTCCTTTATTCTTCCACTCTGCAGCCCCTACCCTCAGCTGTGGGATCATTCATGATGTGGCCACGTCCCACACTGAGAGAGTGCCGACCTGTGCTGCACCCATAGTAGTGCCACCTAGTTTGCCTAGTGGAAGCACAAGCCCTGTTCACCCTCTCAAGGCTCCAGCCCAACCCTCTGTGTCCTCCTTTGCTCTGAACACTGCCCACTTCTGGGCTGCATGAAGCCCAGTGCCATTCAGTCATTTACTGTGAGCTCTGGTTGTCATGGAAACACCCCCTGACTAGCCAATAGGCAGTTGTTAAATGTTTTATAATGAGCACATAGCTTTGGTACCCCCCTTCCCCAATAATGACATGATTTGGCTACCACATACAGCAATTCTTAAACATTAGTGGGTTATGACACAAATACACCCTTGAATTTGAGCTCGGATGTCATATTTCTCACTTATTAGCATGGGTTATAACCACTTTAGGGTACTTGGGGATTTGACATCAAGCTGAACACAATTTGAATTTTGAATTTGATATCATGAAGCAGTGTACACCCAAACACAGCATTTCACATCTATGAAAGAAAAAAAAAAAAAAGCTTCACAAACTTCACATCAGAAGATGAGTTCAAATGCCCAGTACAAAAGCCCTTAAAGTGATTGTAAAAGAACATTTATAATACCCATCAGCTTTGCTGCCCCTGACTCTAGTCTTTGCTGGCATGAATAGCTACCTCCACCATGGGAATCAGATACCTGTACAGTCCTGCTGCATGCTGTGGTTCTACCCACTGTCACTGCTGTGTATCTGCAGTTCTGAAGGAACACACTAGTGATGAAGCACTCATCAAATGGAATCATAGCATGAAGCGGGAGGTGGAGCTCTAGAGTTATGGTTACTCAAATAAGGAATAGTGAGATTACCAGTCCTCATGAGTCAAATCTAGTCTATTGAGAAATGGACAGATGGGCAACTTGATATCAGGGATGGAAGGAATAATGGGACTTTTGACTTGCCAGTAAAATCTGTCACCTAGAGTACAGCACAGAAATGTCTATAAATCATTACAACTGGGTTATATGCAACTACCTCCAGGTGATTGAACATTGGCAAAAAAAAAGCTGCTGGTACATCTCCCATATAACTATAGGGAGATCATAAGAACGGAGGGGTTGGGTCCTGTACTGTACTTTAGAGTATAGGTTTTTCTACTAAGACAAAAATCCTATTTTCCTGATTGTACAGTATAGGACACAGGCTCCATTAAATCATTATGACTAGGATGCTCAAATGCAGTTCAACTGAGGGGTGGGCAACAGCAATCAAAGACAACATGCCCACATAATGAACAAGTAAAGAAGACTTGACTGATTCAGAGAGCAATTTGCAGCACTTTATGCTTGAAACTGACAACAAAAGAGGCCTGAAGGTGCACCTGGCAGAACTTCTCAAATGTGAACAGAAGCCCAGGTGGCAGCCTTCTAAATCTGAGACATAGATTCCTGATGCTGAAAAGCTCATAAACTGATCTAGTAATAGAGGTGTTTATCCTGATCCTATGTCTCAGATGGTCAGGGATCCTCTTCTTCATATAGCTATCGCCTACATCGTTACTATGTTTGGCTCAAGGGCTAATTAAAAAAAGACTGAGTCAGGAGGAGAGGCTGGAGGGGCATGGTTGTGACCCCTGCTGTCTATGGCCTCAATATGACCAGAAATTCTGCCCACAAAACCTGAAGTTGCAACAGAAAATGTCTCTCTAGACAGGAGGGAGACTGAGCTGCAAGACCAGAGAAAGGCAGAGAGAGAAAAGGATACTAGGCTCTAAAAATAGGAAACTACCCCTCAATGGGACTAAAAGCTAAGCCTGAGCTAGCAAGTCTATGTTGCCCTTCTACCCTTCGCTTATGACCTGCTATGCTTGTGAATTTGCCCCCAGAGCGAAAGATACAAACTTCACAGGAGAATGCCTCAGTGTAAAGGAACCTGTAATCCATGTATCACAATTTTGACTGCCTGCGTGTCCACAGTGTAGAGGGGACACTGGAGATGTTGCCGGCTCAAAGTCCAAAGAGGAAGAGGAAAGACTCTCTGGTCTGGCAAGTCCCTCAGAAGCTAGGTAGTACAGTGAATGTTCTAAGCCACGCAGTTGAGGAAGCCACAGGTGCACTAAGCACCACTACGGCACTGAACACAGGTGCAAAAAGTGTTCCAAATGTCCGCTAAAGGGGCACAAATGGTGTCAAACATAAAAGGAACAGCTGGTAACATGGTCCCCACTTGTTCTCGGTCAGTGTTTCCCAAAGGGGGTATAAGGACAGTGGCACCCTGGAGTCTTGACTGTTTAGAAGGTTTTTGCCTTTACCATCCATTTCACAGTAATTAACTTAGGTTAACCCCAGGGGCGGACTGACCATTTGGAAACTCGGGCACTGCCCGGGGTCAGTAGGGAGCCCCCATGAGATGCCCCTGGTACCTTTTTCATAGGCTTTTTTGAGTTTGGGCAAGGACACAGGGGCCCCATGAGTTGTCAGTCCACCCCTGGTTAACCCATTCCTGGCTTTGCCCCCCACGATTAACATGTCCCTGCACGGCTCTTCAGGGACAGAGCTCAGCACCAGGCAGACCATAACCCTAAACCTGTAAAGCATCCTGCAGCTACTCCATGCTTTGCACTACATGCCAAGGGAATTTACCACAGTAAGATCCAGTGCATAGCAGCAACATTACAGGCTGGCCCCCTAAGGCTCTACTGAGGAATCAACTGATCCAAAAGGTGCATAAAAAGCTACAGTGCAGCCAAAATCTTGATAGGGGAATTGCCTTGGAAAATTCATCCAGAGAGAGAGGGAAAAAAAATGTCATGTAGAAGGTAAGCTTCTCTCAGCAGAGAGAAGAGGTCATAACCAAATGACCCAAAGAGTTGAGGAGTTATATGGGGGGTGTTCCAGCAGCTTTTTGTGCCAGTGTCCAATAATTGGATGCTGCATGTAACCCAGTTGTGATGATTTAAAGAAGCCTGTGTCCTGTACTGTACAACCAAGAAATGGTTATTAGCTGGAATAAAAAGAAACAAAAAAAAAGAACAAAACCCACATAAATCTCCAGTCATGTGCTTTTCCTAATATTGAAAAACAACCCTACCCAAATCACATCTGTAGTCTGGTTTTGGTTGCTACAAGTAATTGTTTCCTTTCCACTAGTTTTATAAATCAGTCCCACTGACTGCACAGCCACACAGAGCTGTTACTGTACTAATTATATACAGTTTTATTTTTATGATGGGATAAAACATCTAAAGACAATGCCATCCAAAAGCAGATGTTTCAGTTAAACACTTTGCTCATGGCCTTGTGGGAAGGGAAGAGTTATAAATTGTTGTGAAATCTCATCACTTGAAACTCAGGGTCAAAAGAAGCCAATTAGTGAGGCAACTTAAGGATGCCCAACCAAAAATCAAAATGTCAGAGGCGTTTTGGCTCTTTAACTTCCCTGAACTGCTCTCCTTCTCAGAAATCTATACATTTCTATACACACACAAAACCACTGACATTCTTCACAGTGAACAGATTGGGGCTAATAGCTGCTAATAAATAATCCCAACTGCTGAAACAAAAACTAATTATTACAAATTAAATCACACATTAAGTATGCACTAATACTCTCACTATAATAAACACAATCCTGTGTCAGATTAAAATTTCCACTAGCAGAGGTCTAATGACCTTCTGGAATTCATTACCAACAATTTATGTGGAAACACACAAGAAACAGAGCAATGCCAGAGCAGGCTGCATATTTCATACTCTGACACCCCATCACTACACTGTCAAAGTACAGCTGTTATATATGGATTCATACCATTGCTGGATTCCTTAAAAAAATGTAATAGGTATCTGGCTTCGATACTACTAGATTATCGACTAAAAACAAGCATGTAGCAAACATCATGCCAGCTAGGCAACTAGCATTCTCAGAAATATCAGCATATACTGTATATTTCCCATTTACTATGGAATACACACTTTTCTTTTTGTTTTGCATTAAAGTACAGAAGAGTTAAAAACAATATAAGCCTATGTTTTTATGTATGTGTACTGCTGGGGACATTTCTTTTTACTTCCAGTCCTGGAGATTCAACAGGAAACGATAGGAAAGTTCTCTAAAAGGAGGGGAAGTCCAACAATATGAGAATAGTTCCCATTGTATGACTTATCCTCACCTCCTGTCCTGGTGATAGTTAAAAAAAATTTGGATCCCCTATCACTTTGTCTTGATGCCAGTGATCATCAGCACAAGCAGAGGGGTGAATCTCCTTGATGGGATCCCAGGCAGCAATGTAAACTTGTCAAAGTATCTAACTCATCCCCCTCTATTCAAAACTAACAATAACAAAAAAAAGTTTTGCCTTTGCATACGCTTTATTGTAAAATGGACCAAATACAGGGATTCTCCTGGAACACTACAATCTAGTCAGTTCTAATTTTAGCATTGAGTAGGCATAGTGCAAAATGCAAATTATGTAGTAAAACAGCGCAAGGTAATTGTCATCCAGTAGTTGGAACGTTAAAGGACCCACTCTGGTCTGCCCTAAAGTGTGTGCAATTAATGCACGCACTTTAGGGCAGACCATTTGCTTTATTGGGCTGCCTAATGCATCATGATTATTATACAGTATTTATATTTGTAATAATAATGGACCTAAAATCAGACCTGCAGTGTTTTTTGAACTGCAAGGCACTGCAGTGCGCAACAGTTCATTACTGGGTTCAACACATGTGTTGGGAGCCATTCATAATAAATGGGTACCGCAGTGCACATAAAGTACAATTCAATGCATGGCTAATGATCACCCAGAGGCCTTTTTCTTGAATTTTTGAGATATAAGCTTTGTTGATCTGTACTAGCAGTGCATTAGCAACAAGTGATTTAATCTGTAGTAAATTAGACAAACTCCGCACAGCAGTAGCTACTGTTGCTGACATTTTGGGAAGTCTGTGAGCTGGTTGCTATGGGCAGCAATTTCAGATTCCTTAATTCATACAAATTGTGAGTGACACTCATGGGCAACAGCTTCACATTTTCTCCCAATTTTCATAAGTCACTATGGTCTTTGAGAAACGTAAGACTTAAAGCACTGTTGAGTAGTTCGTCACCAGTACTGGGACAAGATTAATTTAGCATCCAAAATAAAATGGCCAAAGTATATACTCCCCATTACCCCCCCCCCCCCCCCCCCCACACACACACACACACATCCTTTTGTCACACTGCTCCTGCTAATGCACATTCTCTTTTGCCTACCCTTTGGCCCAGCCCTGCCAATACCTGAATGAGCAGAAAGTAGGATATTATTACAAATGCTTCTTTTATGCTTCCTTTCTTACAAAATACAGTTTAAATCTGGAGTTGTAACCCTCCATCCACCACTAAAACATGGCCAGTAACATACGGGGACTCCAACAAGAAAGCCACAGCGTGAGACACTTCTTCCGCTTCACCAAACCTGCTTAGAGGGATATTTCGGCTCAGCAAGTCCTTATCCAGGCTTGAAGTCATATCCGTGTGAATGAATCCTACAAATGATGTATGCTTATTAATGTAGAATATACAGTACATAGAAGAATAAAGAAAGATAGATTATTTCACTTCATAGAATTATTAGTTATAAAGAATGGAAGCTCTACTACATTTTTAAGTGTATGTCCTGCACCCAGGAAAAATTGTATTGTTCACTGCCCATTACTCTGCTGGTGTGTTGGGTGCCATTCAGAATTAAAAATTGCACCATGATAGACACATAATGCCACGACTGTCACTACATCACATCTTTTGCATTAATATAAACTATGCAGTTTATCAGGCATCAGTGCAATAATCAGGTCTGGATCCAGCCTAAACACATCATTAAACATAGCTTTTCAGTGACCTGTTTCCCCCGATACCAAATAATCTATCTAATCTTCTATCAGGCAAAGAGGTGGAAATATTTATGATGTGGCAAATAACTGGTTAACCATTCTTTTGCCAGTGGAACCAAATGAGATATTTTACAGTTTGCTGCATTAAGCTGCATTCCCTGCATATTCCACTCAATGGTCTCAGCAACCTCCTCCACATTTATAATGATAAATGTTACAGTCACCAGCTTGAGAATTGAACAAAATCAATGCTGGAGCAAGTGCCCAGATTGTCTACTTTTTATAAATGTGTCCCAATAAAAAATTTCCATGAATAATGAAAAGGTTGCTTCATTAAAGTCACGACTACCCTGGCATTCTGCGTTTTCTGGTCATGTGATCAGCTCACTGCTCTCCCAGCTGTTTCTTCTCATTACAACACTGGGGCAATTCATCTTAGGAGGCAGACTGTCCCATATACCTTCAGGAAGAAGTTACCAGAACGACCATTGGATGATGATGGTTGTCCTCTGTGTGAGCAGAACAGTTCAAGTGGGTACTGTGATTGACTTGTTAATGTTTAAATATTAGGGTCCCACATTGTAATGTTAGAACCTTGATAAAGAGGACCTGCATCTCCTGTAAACAGCATGCACCACTTCAGTTAAATGAATATTGTGAAAGGCTGCTGATTTCTCTTTATCTGAGTTTTTATTCAGCAGCATATCTGTTGTCCCCGGTTATAGATGGCTGTAGCATTCTGAGCAGAGAAGTGGGGGGGGGGGGGGGTAGTTTGTGGACTGGACTCCACTCATCACTTTCATCAAATTACAAAGACAAATGGTCTTACCGGGGGCAACCACATTAACCCGTATGTTTTTCCTTGCAACTTCTTTAGCCAGGGATTTGGAGAATCCAACCAAGCCTTCCTTGCTGGCACTGTAAATACTCTGCCCAGCATTCCCTTTGTGACCAACCACACTGCCTGCAAGTAAAGAGAAGGGCCATCAGTCAATATCATAGAATGAAAGAAACAGAAGATTAACAAAACACAGTAGAGACATTACAGCAAAAGGTTCATGCTCTCACAATGTGACAATCCTTCCAAATCTATCTGTGTGCTTTATTCCCTGGAGGAGTGTCAGGTGTTCCTACACTATATCATACAAGCAGGGGCGGACTGACAACTCATGGGGCCCCCGGGCAATAGGGGATCATGGGGCCCTTGCCCAAACTCAAAAAAGGCTATGAAAAAGGTACCAGGGGCATCTCATGGGGCCCCCTACTAACCCCGGGCCCTTGGGCAGTGCCCGAGTTTCCAAATGGTCAGTCCGCCCCTGCATACAAGGGATCTCTACCTTACAGTCATATAGGAATACATAGTGTTTGGCTTAGCCCCTTATTTAGCAGCAAGTGCCTAGTTCCTTGTTAGGCCTCATGCACAATCCTGCTCCTAAATGTGAGTTTAGGAGCTTTTGGCGTTATTTTGCCAAAGCCCCTGAACTCAACTCAATAAAAGCCTGTGTGTCCATCCACACATAGGTTTTACCTGAGTTTAGGAGCACCAGACTTTAGAGGCAGTTAAATGTTATTCTCCTGAATGCAGAAGAATCTTGTTCAGGAGAGGTAAGTTTTGGCAAAAAAAAAAACCAAAACGCAGCAAAAACTAGTGTAAACGTGCCTAAGCACTAGCTGCATTTAGCGCTTGGGTGTTTATTAAGTCCTATGGCCACATTTACATGTGTTTTGCCAAGTTTAGCATTTTTCTGCTGCCAGGAGAGTTAACATCTAGGGAAGTTTGAGTGTACATGTAGCCTTATACTGAGCAATTTCCAAGGTATTTATTCTTTTATTAGCTCCTTGGTGCCGGGGTGGGGTTTAGGGTCATGTGACTACTGTGATTGGATGTCACAAAGGTCACATGATCGGAAAGCTCCCGATCGCAAGTAGAAACTGGGAGCTTTGCATGAGGCGCCAGGAGCGCACAGGGTGCGCGCTCTCAGCATGTTTGTTTAAATCGGGTCCGCAAATATGGCCCAGCCACGGAGAGGCCGCATATTTGCATACTGTCGGTGCCAAGGAGTTAAAGACTATCATAAGTTTATCTACATTTTATGTGAGAAATGTGTTAGGTTATATTGTCAGTTTAGATGCAATTACAGTATACCTTAGTGGAGTTCTTCTTCAAATGAGTTTAGGACTTTGTTACTTTACACCTGTGCCCTCCAAACTGCAACCCGTGGGCCGAATGCAGCCCTTGGCTTGCCTCTATCTGGCCCTCGGTGTACTATTACTCCCTCTGACACAAACAAGGAGGCACCATTCCTTCCACTGGCACCAACTATGGGCATTTTTCCTTCCACTGACACCAATGATGTGGCACAATTCCTCCCACTGATATAAACAATTAGGTACTATTCCTCCAACTATGGTAATACGAAAGATTGGGCACTATTCCTCCAACAAATATCAAGGATGGGGCACTATTCCTTCCTCTGATACCAATGACGGGACACTGTTCATCCCACTGATGCCAATGATGGGGCACTATTCCTCCTGCTAACACTAATGATGGGGCATTATTCCTCCCATTGTCATCAATGATGGGGCACTATTCATCTCAATGACACCAATGATGGGGCACTTTTCCTCCCACTAATACCAATGATGGGGCACTATTCATCTCAATGACACCAATGATGGGGCACTTTTCCTCCCACTAATACCAATGATGGGGTACTGTTCCTCCCACTGATACCAATGATGGGGCACTATTCATCCCACTGACACCAATGATGGGGCACTGTTCATCCCACTGATAACAATGATAGGGCACTATTCATCCCTCTGACACCAATGATGGGGCACTTTTCCTCCCACTAATACCAATGATGGGGCACTATTCATCCCACTGACACCAATGATAGGGCACTATTCATCCCACTGACACCAATGATGGGGCACTGTTCATCCCACTGATAACAATGATAGGGCACTATTCATCCCTCTGACACCATGGATGGGGCACTGTTCCTCCCACTAATACCAATGATGGGGCACTGTTCCTCCTACTAATACCAATGATGGGGCACTGTTCCTCAAACTAATACCAATGGTATTATTCCTCCTTCCACTGACTACAAGCACAATGTCATTTTTTTTACTCCTACTGACGCTGGGACATTTTGTACTCCCACTGGTCCCCTTCGGTCCCCCTAAAGTCTAAAAGGACAGTAAACCGGCCCTTTGTTTAGAAAGTTTGGAGACCCCTGCTTTATACTATCAAACATTCAATAAAGTACAGGTATCTCTATCTGTTTTCCCATTATACTCTGCCCAACCTTACACAAACCATGGTCTGCAATTTACAGTCCATTCATAAAATGAAGACCACAGTGTGGGGTCTGTTGTACTGCACAGAGATCTCTCTGCTTGATGCAGAAGAGAGAGCTTATGTGATTTATAGGTCACGTGACCAGGCTCTCCTCCCAGATTTTGTTTTTCTTCTTACAAACTCCCATTCATTTGATAGTGTTCCATTGGCTTCAGTCTCCCAAAGTTAATGGAGTGCTAAGCAAATCTAAAAAGCATATCTGTGTGCTTTAAAAATTAGTATATGTTTGTGCCTACAGCATACTGTCAGCTTCAGTAGAGGAGTTGAGAAAAAATAAATATTATAATTGGCTGCTTTGAGGAACACAAAGGGATTTATTTACTAGGCAGCACAGTGGCTACATGGTTAGCACTTCTGCCTGGCAGTACTAGGGTCATTGGTTCAAATCCCAACCATGGCACCACCTGCCTGGAGTTTGCATGTTCTCCCTGTGCCTGTGTGGGTTTCCTCCAAGTACTCTGGTTTCCTCCTACGCTAGAAAGACATGCTGGTAGGTTAATTGGATCCTGTCTAAAATTGGCCCTATTATGTATGAATGTAAGTTAGGGACCTTAGATTGTACACCCCTTGAGGGTTAGGGACTGATGTGAATGTACAACATATATGTAAAGCGCTGCGTAAATTGACACCTGTAATATATAAATAGAATTTACTAAAGGCAAATATACTGTGAACTTCAAGTGCAGTTGCTCTTGATCTGAGTGGAAGCTGTCAAATGAGGGGAAGCTCTGCTGATTTCTCTCATCCAAACGTGCAAACAAAAATGCTGTTTTTTTTTTTCTTGCATGTGATTGGGTATTTTTGCAAAGTGAAGCTTTACCTCATTTACCAAGTTCTGGAGCAACTGCACTTGCAGTGCACGGTATATTATCCTTTAGTAAAGCAACCCCAAACTGTTCTTGTTATCGCACTTTCTGTACAGTAGCAGTTCTATCCAATAATGGCCATTCCTTCTTGTTATCTCTGTACAGAGCCATGGCGTTCAGTTTTTCTGGAGCTCTTACTGGAAAGAAATATGAAAGATCTTTATTTGTGTTTTTGCCTTAAAGGATAATTTTACCTTTCATACCGTTCAGGGTGTAACATGTTATGAAAGGACTAGCCCCCGCACCTCCACTTTGACAGCTAGTGGTGGATCTTCTCCTGCGGGGGACCTAAGAGGAGGATCCAGACTGCTCTGTGCAAAACCACTGCACAAAGCAGGTAAGTATAGACATGTTTGTTATTTTTTCTTAAAAAAAAAGTGTGAATGCAGCCTAACTGTCGCACAAACAATAAAGCCCAACTTTTTGTCAGTCCAATACTTTCACAGGTCACATGCAATAGTCATTCCTCTGTATGAAAAAAGGATGTGATCACTTAATTATTTATGTATGTTGCTAAGACACATGCTTAGTGCATGTTATTAGTCTCTCTACTTGTTTGGATCACCTGTCTGGTCAATACAGTCCTGCACTGAAAACGGTATGTTTGCCAAAAACATTATCAATGATCCACTCCACGATCCAATAATATTTCTAATCCATTTGATATATGACACGTCAGTAAAGAAAACAAATGTTTTGAAATGTATTACATCTGGATTTTCTAAAGGATTATTTTACAATTTATCTGAATATTTTCAGGTAAATGACATCTGCTATCACTGATGCTGTTTTTTGTGTACAGTGATTTTATAAAGAGATGAATGATGGTGAAATTCCACTTTGCACAACTTGGACAGTGGATCAAGAGATGAATCCATACTACTTCAGCCTGACAGGCCTAAAATTGTACTTATTCTGTGTACACTTTTTGAGTGAATAGTGCAAACTAGCATTTCTGGAAGTAGACAACGATATTGCTCTGTGTATTTGCAGGGCTGGTAGATATGCAAATACTGGGTGGGCTGGGCAGATTTGACCATAAAAAGCTGGAGCACCACATCCAAATTAAGTTAGAAATTCCAAAAAATGGACTTTTGACGTGCCCCAAAGAGTAACCCACACAAGAATACAAAATATTCAGGGACGATAACTCTCTGGGGGTAATACCTACTTCAACAACCAGACAATTGCCCATTACTACATCTTTTTTCATATGTTTACGCTGCTCAAGGTAGAGAGACTCCCAATCTCCAAACACAACGCCTCCTGTAGGTGCTAGCCCAGCTCATGTGCTGCATAGATGAGAACAAATGACGTCCGATAGGCTGCAATCCAAAGAATCCACTTTACTCAACCAAAATAAAGCCAATACAGACAGTGGAAATACAGTGGGGGTCTGGCAGGTAAATGTGTTTCACGTTAAAGACGCTTATTCATTACCCCAATGAATAAGCGCTGTCTTTAGCGTGAAATGCGTTTACCTGTCAGTCCCCCACTGTCTGTATTGGTTTTTTTCTTGGTTCAATATGGATTGCAGCTGATCGGACGTCCTTTGTTTACATCTTTTTTTCAGCAAAGGTTACATTTGGGTACATTGCAGGTTACACTTGCATAGTGAAAGGGCTGAATTTCAGCTAGTTCTACTCTTCACAGGGCCTACAGTTTGAAGTTTTGTAGCCAACAGTAAATATGGTCCAAAACAACAGGTGTGGTTCTGGAAGGTAACAATAGCAAGGGATTTAAATACTATGGAACAGTACATATACTATACCGGTAGTTCTTTTTTTTAAGTCAAGATGATACCGTGTGGTTCATTTCTACAAATTGAGGCAAGAACCAATGTTTTAAGTGCAAATTAGACAACGGAAAATAAAGCCTGATTGGTTGCTATTAGCAACAACCTATTGTAATGCACATGTAAAGACAAAACTATTTTTTTTTTAGTTTTGGATAAAATGGGGAAGGTTAGACACTGTGTTAACTTTTTATTACTGTTTCCCCATTGGGGAGATTCAAGTGAGGGGGAAATCAAAAAAATTAGGGTTGTCCCCACAACAAGAGGTGAGGGGAAATCATTCAATGGAGATACCAGTTATTATTATTATACAGGATTTATATGGCGCCAACAGTTTGCTCAGCACTTTATAATATAAAGGGAGACAATACAGCAACAATACAGTTCAATACAAGAGGGATAGGAGGTCCCTGCTCCTTGGAGCTTACAATCTATCATTTTGATAACAACTATCAAAGAGGGGTATTCTCATCACTTTAGATTTCCTCTAACTTCCTGTTGTGTCTGTAGGGCAGGATGTGTAGGAAAATCTCCTTAATGCAAAAACTAGCCAGACAGGGTTTTTAACCCTTCCCTATACACAGGTGTCAAACTGGCGGCCCTCCAGCTATTGCCAAACTACAAGTCCCATGAGGCATTGCACAATTGACAGTTAGAAGCATGACTCCCAAAGATAGAGGCATGATGCGACTTGTAGTTTCACAACAGCTGGAGGGCCGCCAGTTTGACACCCTTGATCTAAAACAAACAATAAAATCGGACTATACAAACATTTTAAGACAACTTTTAAGATAGCATTAATATTGTGAATGTACTACTTTAATTGTCTGTAGTGGTATGATGCAATTACAGCCATTTTATTCAGAGCTCAGTTACCTATATTGACAATAGCTCCACCCTGCTGCTGGACCATGCTACGTAATGCAACTTTACAAGTATGTATTGGTCCTATGAGATTGACGGAGAGCTGAGACAATATATCTTCTGTCTTGGTTCTCATTAACAGTCCATCCCTGGAAAAAAAAAACACAGTTATTTTACCAGTCAAAACAACATAGTACACTTGTACTGCTCCTCAAAATCTGTGACCAGACTTTCAGTGCTGGAATGATTCTCAGGAGGTAAAAGCAGGGGGCATTCGCTTAAAGCCAGGGAAAATAGGCATTTGTGCTAAAGCAACTAATTTCTTTTCTTCAAGGGTTTGTAAACCTCAGACATGAAATATAAACAAAGCTTATCCCACTAGAATAAGAGTATGAAGCTCGGTTCACATTTGTGTGGGTGGTGCCGCTGCGGGAACCGCACAAATAACAGCAGCACCCACACAGAGAAATGCAGGACCCGCAGGTGTGTGCCATTAATCGTGATGTCACGCCGTCCGCACTGGAAATTGCACCCATTCTGGGAACCTTAGTTCTCATGCAGGCTGCGATTTAAAAAATACTGCAGGGAATTCTTTCCTGCGTGTCCCAGGGCACAGCAGCCAATTCAAATGAATAGGCGCTCATGTCTGTGCAAATCGTGGCCCACACTGCAACACAGGTGTGAACATAGCCTAAGTGTAATTTCTGTCTGCTGCTTCATTCCTCTGCTATCAGTATGAATCACTTATGACAAGTTTTCCGGACACCAAGAAAAAAAATAGTCATTGGGAGGGAGCTTCAGAAGATTGGCAGCCTCAGCCCTGTTTCTATGTGCTTTGTGGAGGGAGGTGTGTCTCTTCCCTCCAATCAGATCTCAGAACTCTTCTCACTGAGCTCTGCCGAGTGTAACTTCAGCTCTCTGCTCCCTTTTTCCTGAACCCTCAGACAACCTTATGAATTCAACATTTTGAACAGATGTAGAGAAGAGAAGACTGCAGATAAACAGGTACAACTTATGTAGGAGGAACGGTTTCATCTTTGTGCATCAACTAAGGCCAGTCACTTTACTGGGTATATGTGAGGGTTTACAATCATTTTTACATATCAGCTGCTGGAAAACAAATAAGTGTATTTATCTAAAGAGAGTCCTTGAACTTTGCTCAGATACTAGAACATTTGTCCTTGACAGCAATTTGAATGGAACACTGAATAGAATCACTCCTTTTGATCAGTCCTTATGTAGTGCTGGTGTTCATGGCGCACCAGTGATCTGCAGCTTCACATAAATGAGTTCAGCTCCCAGCAGTAGCTTGTAGAGAGAGGAAGGACAGTCGACAACGGATGCCCCATAGTAAGCCTTTGGGTGACGTCTCTGCCCAGTCATTGCAGCCATTGTCCCTGCCATCTCCTCTCTCCTGAAGCCGGCCACTGGGGAGATCAGGCAATTGGACCAGAGCACTCTCAACATAGGTAAGTGTAAACATCTTCCTTCTACAGGGTAGTTAGTATAGGAGGGAGAAGGGAGGGCGGGAGCAGATTCAAGCTTAGTTAGTAATAGCCTGGAATTCTGCTTTAAAGGCAAACTTGTCTTTATTATATTTAACAGCAATGTTAACAAAACATGAGAAATAATAATAATAACATGGACAAATAAGTGGATAGAAAAACATCATAGGCGTGTCGATAGTCCATGCGGATGAATGAAAATAACAACAAAATGGAAGTGTTTCAATAACACATATTACGGAAGTATAGAGAGAAACAAAAAAGAACATAGGTTCACGGGGCGCATCACCAGACAAAATATATGGAACAAAATATGGAGACTCTGTGTAACCAAAAGTATAAACCCAAACAGGAAAAAAAGAAGAGTCTACAGGGAAGAGAAAAAACAAAAAGGAGAAGTCAGTTGTAAAAATAGTGAGGGAGAAGAAGAGAGAGGGTCGGGGGACAGACATGGCAGAAAGCTGAGTCAAGGCGGCCCCACACCAATATCCCGCCAGAGTGACCCCGCCGCCCGCACCAGGTACGGGCCGCGGGGCCAAACATACGAGAATGCATCGGGGTGGAATTCTGCATTAAAAGGTATATATTTAGAAGTTTTTTACTGGCATACACCAGGTGGAGGGTGGATTTTTTCACAGTGGTGTTTTATGTTGTTTTGGAGAACAGAGGATACACTGAGTCTATGAAAGTGTGTTTTCACAGCAGTGGATTGTAAAGTAGAAGAAAAGTTGCAATTGTTGCTTTTCCTTTTGTTGATTTTTCATTTCTAGCTACTAAATACATGGACATTTTTTTTTGTAATGCTGGTGTTTATGGTGCACCAATAATCTGTAGCCTCACATATATGCGCGGTGGCAGCATGATGGTTAGCAGCCATGCAGCTATTTTCCCTGGATTGGAATCCCACTATGGGTTACTATCTGCATTGAGTTTGTATGTCCTCCCTGTATTTGAGTTTCCTCAAATTGCTTTGATTTCCTCACATGATTTGGAAAAACATATTTCTAGTTTTGCTGGTTTCATCCCAGACTGGGCCCTAGTATGTGTATAAATGCGATAGGCAAGCTGGATTGTAAAGTAGTGGTGAACAAAAATTTTAATTCTGGACCAAAACCAAAAATTCACAATGCACTTGGCTGAAAACCGAAACCAAAATGGACAGTTTGTAAATTTTTTTTTATATATATAAATGGTAGTCGACTTTTTTTACATTTAATATCATGAATTTAAAAAATACAATCTAGTAAAGTAAAATTACTTTTATTTATAGCAACACAAAAATTGGACAGAAAATAAAATGAAATAGATATAAAAATGAAAAAAAAAAAAAAACCTAAATAGATGGTTTTTGCATTGATATCAATAGGGGATGTTTTTGAATTGAAGTCAATAGGGGGCGGGTTTGCAATGAAGTTCATTGGCAGCAATTTTGCATTAAAGTCAATGGGACACGATTTTGCATTGAATTCAATAAGACACAATTCTCAAGTCAATTATCATTTATCATTATCGGCACCTTTTTTTTTTTTCTATTGGCAAAACGCCAATAACCCTAATTTCGACAACTGATGAATTGGTGCATCACTAATTGTAAACTTTATCTTGGGACAGATGTGATCAGATCTATGTACTCTCTAAAGCAGTATGGTGCACTGAAAGCTGCAAGGGTGAAGTACAGACGGTAGTAGAAGTATATGTCCAACCAAAACTTTTGTTTTTAGTTTTGCATAGAGTAGGGATAGGTAAGTTAGGCTTTAACTGCTATCCAGGGCTTCATTAGAAAGATATTCCTCTACTTACTGTTGTGATGACAACGGTTTCAGTAAGCTGAAAGTGAGGGAAAAGCTGCAACAAGGGCACAAAAAAAACAAATAAAAAGGGAATTCTAGCCTTTTCTACTTCAAAAGAATCTGAAAGATGTTGGCAATTTTCGATCATTTCCTGTCTGAAGAAACAATTGTTGCAGTGACAGGTGACAGTAGGCAAGGGGAACATTTTCTACCCCTTCCGCACTCTATCCAAAGCAGACAAACAAAAAGCTTAGACTGGACATACACTTTAAGGGAAATGGGGGTCAATTCACTAATAGTTATCACATGCAATATGTTATTTTTTTTTTTTATATAAAATATCACATGTGATAATAACCAGATTCATCAAAGTAAAATATAGAATTTTCAGTAAATAGTGCAAAAATGAGATAAAACATTGACATCTATTAAATTAAAAGAACACATTTGTTATTTATCTTCTTGTGGTATAAGCAGTTGATATTTTAGGAATATACAAAATACCAGTGAGAGGAACTCTGCACTGGCCAGTAAAGTGAAAGAAAATAGTGTATCAGTGTGGAAATGGTAAGAATGTCAATCATTTGTAACTGTGACAGACCCAACTGGGACAGAGGCTTTCGGAGGGGACTACAGGCTAGCCTCTTGCCTACTGACTATGGGCCCTGTTCTTTGGGAGGTGTGTGTCTGGGCTAGTAGTTTAACTTCGGATTCAAGTCCATGTCTCCCCGAAACACACCGATTCTGAGAAATGGAGAACTGGTATACAGATTTGGGGCCTCTGTGTTTTGTAGGGGTATATAATTAACAGCCCAAACCAGCTGACTACTTCAACCCTCAACTATATTCAAAGCAGAAGATTTTAATCGGCTCAAAACAACCTGATGCTGGGGTCTCCTGCTGTTACGTGTAATCTGCTTATTAAGGTGTTATGTGTTTCTTGTTTCGATGTATACCTGTGTTTGCCTATTCTGTCTAGGTATGAAGTGTCTTTCTCCCATTGTGTAATTTTCCAATTGTGTGCCTCCTAGGAGTGAACTTCCATTGTTAATTGAGTAACCTATTGTTTATGCCTGTTTGCCAATCCTCCTGGAGATTCCTACAGGATGTGATTAGTCTTGTGTCAGCTTTACCTCATTACCTAACCATTGTAAAATGTTAACCCCAATGTGTAATATTTGTTTTTATTGTTCATGTGGTGACTGCCCCTATTTTCGAAGTGCATAAAAAACCTGTATTTCTGTTCAAGTTATTTCTTTGGTTTTACCTCAACATCTTGTCTGTGTATGATGCTTGGGGTAAAGGGCTGGTATTAGCTACTGTATAATAGCCCTTTCTCCTGCAAGGGTTTGGAGGGCAGGAGGCACTGTTTGGTGGTGGCACCCAGTTGGGGTGCAGGCGGTTCATTACAGTAACACTGCACCACAGGGACAGCACTGTGAATGATGTTACCATAAGAACGTTTTCATAGTTTCACAATACTTTTGCGTGCCTTCATTCACAGCTTGGCCTAAACAAACTATCTAAAGTGAAAGGAAAGATAAGTTAGGCTTTAGTGCAAAAATGAATGTGGTATTGATCTTATAGGCTCACTTACAAAAGCTTTGCCCTCTGAACAGCGATTTGCAAGAAATCAATTTTCTGAGGGCATCTGACAGGGTGTGAGGAGGCCTAACCCTAAAAACCTGCACCACCATGCTGCAACCATGTGCACTGCATGCAGCTGCAGGGCAGCCCCAATTAACTTTGGGGGTGATTTTTACTGTGCTGCGATATGTGTACACCCACCTCATCCACTGCCTTTGCAGTGGGAGTGGTTGGGGGTGGTAGAAATGCAGCTCAACTGTGTATTTT